GTTCAAAGGTACGGATCACGGCAAGAACACGACACGGTCACGGAAACTTGCCTGCTAGTGACGCTAAATGAAAATAGTGAATTAGGATAGGAACACATCACCGCGAAAATCATCTTTAACTTAGCCATACTTCTAGATTTTAGTGAGGGGRACATGTGAGATTTTACACTTTTAACCCCTTTTYTCACTTTTACAGGAATATGACGATGTGTATTCTAAGGTGAATAGATTAACTAAAGGAGCATCGACAGTCCGTGGTCGTATTTACATGTAAGGATTTTCTGTAGAGTCTAGTCGTTCACAATTCTCAGCCGAACTCACAYTACCCGGGTAAAGAAATCAAAGACGCCCGCGCGGCCTGGACACGACTTCATTTTCCACCAGACCAGTTGAATTGTATTCGTRCCTTTGGGCATTTAAATGAGACGACTAGTGTCGCGCGCYTTTAGAGACTGAACCTTCTTTAATACCTTCAGATTGCGGTTACACTTACAATATACCGATATATTTTAAACGCACATTCTTGCATCGTAAACTTTTTGAGATATCCAAATTTRATGTTGTTTTRSCCTGGAAGACAGCATGGCTAATATAATGACAGCATCAAAAACAATATCATGTTGGCTATCATGAATAAGTCCTGTTAGCTCTGATATGATTGGTTCTTCTTCTTAGCTGTGACCTTGCCGGAAGCGAGCGTATCAAGAAAACCAAAGCACAGGGTGAACGCTTACAAGAGGCACAAGCAATCAACTCATCGTTACTWGAGCTAGGGTAGGACTGTTACCTTCGAAGTCACGCCCTTTATTTACTATGTTATCTATAACAATTAAGTTTTTTCCATCGGCTACCATTCATTGAACATATGCTTGACCACCTCAGTCAATATGGAAGTGACCCTTGTGTCTGAGATAGAACTCAGTGTTTTACTTATCTGTCTGAGCCTTTAATATATATTATAAAAAAACAATCATAAACGATAAATGCTGCTATCTTTAAGTCACTGAATTGTCCACATAACTGTGATATCTCCAGTCAAAACAAAGKGTTTCACAGGGCGAACAACGTAGCCTGACCCGCGATAAACAGTATATGTTATGTAACTAAAACCACAGTGTTTTGAAATGTTTTTAACTTATTATGAATGTGATTCTTTCWCATTAGGAATGTAATACACGCTTTAGCCGAGGGGAAAAGCAATCACGTTCCATTTAGGAACTCTGTGTTGACACGTTTTTTACAAGATAGCCTTTCTGGGAACTCCAAGACATATTTAGTGGTAAGCATGTTTAAATAGCTGTAAATTTGTCAGCTCTGTCTCGAAATTTCTCTTGTTTTTCAGTTTTTTAACTGCTTCTTTTGAATGTCAGTTAACCTATAATWTGTGTTAATACGATACAATATGTATTAATTCTACATTTC